GAGAGTACCTTTCATCAAGTACCTGACAGATGGTAGCGGTTACACCGATCGGACAGAGAACGAACGCCTGATGCGTCGTAGTAAGCAGTATCTACTCGTCGATGGCAAATTGTGGCGCAAGAACTCGAAGGAGGAAATCTTGATGAAGTGTATAACCCAGGAGGATGGTGAACATCTCCTAGACAAAATCCACTCTGGCTCCTGCGGCAACCACGCGGCCTCAAGAACGCTGGTCGGCAAGGCTTTTCGAGCAGGGTTCTATTGGCCGTCAGCCGTAGCCGATGCAGAGAAGCTAGTTTGCCATTGTGAAGGTTGTCAGTTTTTTGCCAAGAGAATCCACGTACCAGCACATGAGATTCAGACTATACCAGCCTCTTGGCCCTTCGCATGCTGGGGACTGGATATGATCGGGCCTTTCAAACCGACCCCTAGAAAATTTACATGCGTCTTTGTGCTGATCGACAAATTCTCCAAATGGATGGAGTACATGCCCCTGGTCAAGGCATCTTCAGAAAAGGCTGTCGCGTTCCTCGACCAGGTCATCCACTGCTTCGGCATACCCAACAGCATCATCACTGATCTGGGTACTCAGTTCACCGAGAACGTTTTTTGGGACTTCTGCGATGAAAGGAGCATAGTAGTAAAATACGTCTCAGTGGCACACCCTAGAGCTAATGGACAGGTCGAGCGGGCAAATGGTATGATCCTGAACGCACTTAAGAAGAGGATGTATAGAGAGAATGACAAAGCTCCTGGAAGATGGCTCAAAGAGTTACCAGCCGTGGTCTGGGGTCTCAGAACCTAGCCCAGTCACAATACCGTCGTATCACCATACTTTATGGTTTATGGCGCTGAGGCAGTGCTCCCAGCAGATATAGCCTTCGATTATTGCATACGTACAGCCAAATACCTTGCTGTTTTACGTAGGTACTACAACAAGAACGTCAAGGAGCGGTTCTTCGTGGTCGGGGACCTGGTCCTGAAGTGGAAGACGAATCAGGCTGGTGTCCACAAACTCACAACCCCATGGGAAGGACCCTTTATGATCAAGGAGGTCAAACGCCCTATGTCTTACAAGTTAGCTCGCCTAGACGGCACAGATGTACCCAATTCCTGGCACATCGACAAGCTTAGGTGTTTCTATGCTTAGCTACTAAGATATGTACCCCTCTTGTACTTTTGATTTATTTCCATAAAGCTATTATGATTTCTCCGACCACTCTAATGTGTCACTTCGAAGTCTATTGTTATTCTAACTCTATCAGTTAAAACCGACCATCATTCCTTCTCGGGTTTTCAGAGCAGGCCCTGTCTTCGGTCCCTCCCAACGCATGCACGGGATCCGCTCTCTACGCTACGGGTGATCGGTAGGTGCTCTCTGGTTTGACTTGTGTGTTTCTACGTGTGCACAAGCTACGCACCTCACACTCTGACCGCAAGTCAAACCAGGGCCGTACAAACCTTTCAGGATGACGTGTTGACTAAACCGGTACAACTAAACAGAACACCAACATGTTCTAACTTAGTTACACCAACATGATATCCGAGCTTAAATATGTTTTCTACAAAACAAACAAGCTTATATTGATATACAGTTACGTTATTACAAGCTTGCCTAAAAAGGTCCAAGTTTATAATAACACAACAACATCTTCTTCTACAGCTATAGCCTACACTATTGGCTGGTCGGGGCACGCGGTGCCTACTGCTCGCTGGGCCTGACATCGTGCTCGGGTCTCGGGGACTCTGGCATTGATTGAGCTGAAGAAGATGGCCCCGCCGATGCCTGGCTGGTCGAGACCGTAGGCTTCACCGGTTGGCTTGAAGATGCTGGCTTGTTGACGGCTTTCTTTGTACGGGTGGTGTCGCACCTCCACACAGGTTAATATTGCCAATTATTTTTGCCGACAGGTCTAGCTGGGTCATCTGTAGCTCCTCGGCCTTGTCTGGATCTACCTCCTTCGGGTATCCAGCCTCCAGGCGCTTGAGATCGATCAGGGGGTAGTGAGCACGTACCATGCTTAGCACATGTGTGCCTACGTACTCTCCCGCCTCCTTCACGAACTCCTAGAACCATCCCCATGCTCTTTGGCATCTCGGGGACTACCCCGACTACTCTCCGACCATTGCTCAGGGACTGCTCTCCTCGGCTACATGTGATTTGTACTCACATACAGTTGAGAGGCATTTATTTTTTCTCACTTAGACCTTGCTACAAGGCTCATACCTCGCCTTCCAGCAAGCTCGGGGACTACATCGGTACGATGCACCTGCCGGTGCAGCTCGTATCGCTTGTACGACGATTGGATTCTCAACTTAACTAGGAGTTCTTTTTTAGACCCTGGCACCACGTGCCTACGTCACCTACTACCAGGCTCGGGGACTAAGTGGGCACACTTCACCTTACGGTGAATGTGCTTATTTTATCGACCCCTACGCTCTGACTGTTGGCCATAACTACTCATGTACAGGGGTTACTTACATTCTTTTCAGAAATACAAGTGGGCACACTTGATCAGGAAAGAAATCTTTTTTCTTTTTTCTTTAGAGCACCATGCATTCTTCGGACAACCAGAATCTTCGGCTATAATCGTGGTCTACTGCTCTCTGTGCTGACCAAAATACTGGCACATTTGTTTGGTCAATGTTTCAACCAGTTGGAGATGACATGAAGACAGACCGCATTAGCCGAAGAAGATCAAACGGCGTGTCGCAACATAATACATGGTGCTCGGGGACTAGCTGTGGGGGTATTAACCCCTATACCCTTATGGCTAGGTTTGGCCCGGTCCGGACCAGGGGGTCCGACCCACCAAAAGACGACGTGCGGTCCAGCCGATCTGCTCGGAGTCCCGCGCAAAGAATCAAGGCAGACTTGGAGATCAAGTAAGATCCTGGTCGGTTAGAATATGAATCATTATCCAGCCGCCTATGGCAATTGTAACCGGTTGGGATTAGTTTCCAGATCTGTAACCCTACCCCCAGACTATATAAGGCGGGCAGGGGACCCCTCTCAGAAATCATCTCATTTACATACAGCAATACAATCAGACGTAGGACGTAGGTATTACGCCCTCACGGTGGCCGAACCTGGATAAAACCTCGTGTCTATCTTGCGTCACCATCTCGTTCGTAGCTTGCGCACCTGTCTGCCAATAATCTACTACCTTGGGCATACCCCTAGGTAGACTGCCGACCATATTTCGTCGACAGGGCTGTTCAACATCGGCCACATCCAATTGTTTGAGTCGAATTGGGACCCGTACGATATATGATAGTGAAGGTGATCTTGTACCGGATAGTATTTAAAGTGGAGTGAATGTTGCTAGGAGCCTTAGAGCAGTGATGGAACCTTTGTTTGCAAGCCACTTTGGTGAACAGATACTTGATGAACTCTTGAAGAGGTGTGCATGTAATGTGGCCAAACATCTCAAGAAGGAGAAGACCAAGTGTCGGTGTTTTGAGAACCGACGAGTAAATTTATCACCGAGCTGCTCAAGGCAAATGTGTCACACACCCCTAACATTTTTTCTACTATGATAATATTTCTTTCCTCTTAATAAAATATTGCTTTTTTCTACTCTAGAAGTTGTTTCTAACCCGAAAACATATTTTACTACAAAGGGGTAAGTAAAAAAATGTTCTACCTTTAGAAAAAAAAACATTTGTTCCATAAAGGACAACTAGTGTCATGTAAGAGTGGCAACATTCCTAATTTATTAATTATGCAGTATTGTTATTTGTACAATACTTTTTTTGAATTCATAATTGTTTTTATGGTCAAACTATTTATATTCCTATCCTGTCATGTCAAGCCTTCTTCCGCTCTTGCCTCGTAACAATGTCTATCTTTCCAACTTGTATTCCTTTGTTTTTGGTTGGAACTTTTCTATGGACTTAACGCCACTATGTGCCTCTACTGTTACTCACTTAGCCAGATTTGTTTAAGGTTGATAAAATGTGACAATTCTAACACACAAAAGTATTTTGCAACCTAATCTTTAACCCTGTTATAGCATAAAAATCCTCAGCAAATTATAGAATGAAAAGAGAGTGCTAGGAAGACTCAATTTTTTCACGAGATATTGAAGTGTCGGTACTCTTTATTAGTTCTTGTTGGAGCATGAAATTTATTTAATGAGTTCATACCATTTTTTTTATTGATGATAGCAATGTTCCTAGTTCATGGAACTATTGTTTCATGTTTAGCACAAAAATATTTAATATATTCACTTGGGAAATTGTCACAAAGAGAAAAATGTTTTTATTTTAGAAAAATGTTATTATTGCTTCTTGGTTTGTGAAATTGGTATATGTTCTTGTGAAAATGGCTTCTAGCTTGGATAGAAAAATATTCAACCTTAATAAAATATAAAAAGTTCCATTTACTTATTTACAATGTATTATATATATTTACTAGCCACCGGTAGTGTCCAATGAAGAGAATAGATATGAAATTTTTGTTATGTTATTTAAAACAAATGTTGTACTAGCCATTGATAGTGTCCAATGAAGAGAATAGATATGAAGTCAACAAGAATAAAAAATTAAAAGCGAGAGAAAGAAAAATAAAAAACAGAAATTTTCAAAGAAACTGAAAAAACGGCCCACAAGAAGCCCGTGCGTTTTTTTTTCCCCGCCGTCGATGCATAAACCTGCATTCCCCTTCCGTCCGCTGCATCCCTCATCCCTCCTCGTTCTCTCTCTCTCTCGCTACCCTCTCGCTCTCGGACGATTGTTGGGCCGCCGCCGCCGCCCTAGGCCTGGTGCTGAGGCTTTCGTTGGTCTCTTCGCCGGCGAAGAGCACCCACCAGGTACTCCCACCCCTTCTCTTCCCTTCCCTTATGCTGTGCGAAGCTGAGCACCGAAACCCTAACCTAAAGCTATTTAGCTATTTGACAAGCCTCCTAACTTCGAAGTTTTTGCAAAAATTATTGGGTGTACATGTGTACACCCATGTCCCTTTACTGGATCCGCCCCTGGCTGCGTGAAGTTGAGTGATGAGGAAGCTCAAGTTCCATGAGCAGAAGCTTCTCAAGAGGACCAATTTCTTGGAGTACAAGAGGGAGGGCGGCCACCGCGAGGCGCTCGTCACACAGCGCTACGGCCTCGTCGAGAGGGACGACTACAAGAAGTGGGTTTTTTTTTCCCCTATCCCCACTGTCTCCTGCTTGCCTGTTTAATCAGCTCTGTAGTTTGTATTGAATCAGTAGTAGGATTGCTTTGTGTTGATCTCTAAACGAAGCTTTGATCAAGGATACATTGAAAATCTCTGACTTTCGGGTGGCAGGTACAACGGGATATGCTTAATGGTGCAAAAGCTTGTTAACATCATAAAGCAGATGGACCCAAGAGACCCTTTCAGAATCGAGATGACAGACATGCTTCTCGATAAGCTGTAAGACTGCTAGTCCACTTTACTTGATCGTTAGATTGTATATACCATTGATTATGTAAATTTTGAGCTGGACTATTAAGGTTACATCATCAAGTACCAAAACCTTACAATTTCGCCTCCTGTGTAGCTATTGATTGTATCGTTGACTTCTTGTAGAGTTAACAGTATGAGCTTCACCTGTACCTGTATGTAGTGTGTCAAGGAAGGGCAGATATAGTCCAACTAGACTACTGTCTCCTTTACTACCTCTCATATATGGGATAATTTTATGAATTGCATTCTTGAGTCCTGCGTTTTTCATGTGAAATTGAATTGATTGACTAGTTGCTCAGAACTTCCTGCAGTGTAAATGTGCAAAGATTGCTTGGATATCTGAAATCATGATATTCTAATTATCTTTTATTCTCCCTATGTCTGGTCATACAATCCAATATTGAGCTTCACTTGTGGTAGTACTATCAACATTTTTTACATCTGCATTGGGCTTGATTGCCATTGGCCATCATCTGTACTAGTGCTTGTTCTCTGAACATGGCAATTGATTGATTTTTTTTTTCAAAAGCCATTATTCTCATTTCCAGACTCTCTAGCATGGGTCACGAAACATACTATGATGTTGTTTTCTTGACTTAGTCGCTGAGATCTATACCTATTTCATTTTGACTAAATCATAATCATATAATGTCATACTCATGGGATCTCCAGTATTTTGGTGTTTTTTTGCCATGCTTATTTTTTTGGTCTGATGGAGCTACTTAAATTTCAGGTATAATATGGGTGTAATTTCAACAAAAGAGAGCTTGATAAAGTGTGAGAAACTTTCAGTGAGCGCCTTCTGCAGGTCTCCCCCTCCCTCTCCGTCTCTCCGCCCTAGAGTGTTTGTTTTCCTTTGTAGGATGTTACATTCTATTGGTCATCTTACTTCAGTTCAAGTGTTTTTTCTTGACTAAGAGGTCTGTGACTCTGTGGTAGAGTATTATCCTACTATTCATTTTGCTAACCGCTTGTATGGTAATAGTAGAACAAAGTAGGAAACAATATGACATATGCAGTTCTGTTTACCTTGTTTATTACTCAATTATTGCAGGCGGAGACTTGCGTCAGTTATGGTGAAGCTCAAGTTTGCAGAGCACCTTAAGGAGGCTGTGACATACATCGAACAGGGGCATGTGCGGGTCGGTCCAGAGACAGTCACAGATCCAGCCTTTCTTGTGACCAGAAACATGGAGGACTTCATCACTTGGGTGGATTCCTCAAAGATCAAGAGGAAGGTCATGGAGTACAATGATGCATTGGATGATTTTGATGCAATGTTCTGAGAAAATCATTCTGCAGAAATTTCTGTGCCCATCAATGTAATCTTAGGCCACTCACATATGGCTTTTTCTGAACAAAATCTGCGGCGGTTGTTTTCTGCAGGGCATTTGCATTGCAGATGTGATGCAATTTTGTGGTTGGTTGAAGGCACATTATAATTTATATCTGATGTAGTTGTGCAATTATCTTTGTTAAAGAGCGTGTTTATGATACATCACGGGGTTTACCCGGATTTCCCCATAGTCTGAATTTCTTGCCCCATGCTTCATTCTGCAGTGCATTTGTGCTTGCCGGCATTATTACGTCTAGAGATTAATTTAGTGCCACCATTTCAATAGATCCTTGATAAGGGCAGCAGCAACGCCGGCTGTTACTGCCATAGGCTTTGAGTCCTAGGCAGTGTTTTCCTATCCTAACAAATAAAGGGCCATAGTAAGGTGGTTCTGATTTCTGAACATCGCGCTGCACGTGCACGACAGACTGATTTCTGAACAGACTGACTTTAATTCACACTTTCGCGGGCATTGATAAAGAAAAACAAGGAAAACGAAGAAAATAATCCCCAGAGAAGCACTGTAACAACTAACAAAACATGAATATACAAGTTTCCCCTTGCGCAAACTGATAGTGAAAGATTTGGCAATTGACGTGAACTTGCAACACTGCTATATACGCCTTTGACGGTACAACACTAATTGTAAACTTTAATTTTGAGTTTATAAAGATTATCACAATTATAAAGTACAATGCAGGGAGCTTTGCCTTACAGAATGAAACCATATCTTCGGTCCTACATGATTCCAATTATGCCACCGAACTTTAAATTTTATGCCACAAAACAGGCAGTTCAGACACGTCCGTGCGGTCAGATGCTGATTCAAACTTGAAAGCTTGTACCCTGCATAAGGGACCACCATGACCATTTTTGTGTTCCCACACCCTGTAATTGAGCTTACGAAACAATAGTTTCACAAATTCCAGGCTTCATCGAAAGCCAAACACCTCATTTCTTATCATTTCAGAGTCTGTTCCGGTAAGGGTGCTGCCCCGGGTATTATGTGGACTTCGATCCCAATCTCCTCTATCAGAAAGCCCAAACTATCAATAGTGTACATATCGATTCAGTTTGGTCAATATATCTCAGGATGTACTGTTTCCTATACACAAACATATGGAAAACAGTAACGACGCATACAACAAAGTGGATGACTTGATAATGGTGGATTTACAGCAGCCGTCTGTCATTGTTGATCAACTAGGGGTAGTCCTGGAGCCCAGAGCTCTTGAAAGCTCTCTAATGATGACAGACTTCTCCTTTGCTTCTTTATCGCCTTCGAAATGCCATTTTCGGGACATTTCTTCAGCCTGCAGTTACAATACATGGAATGGTGAGTCAATATTGTCACAGACCCACAATAGTCCACAGCTGACAGCCCCAAAGCAAACTTGAACAAAACTGAAGGGCAATGTGCTGAAGGGAAATACAATAAGCAATTGTTTAGCCAGAACAAGAATGGCAGAAGTTCACTTACCCAGCTTCTCAATGGAGCTATTTGTTCTTTAATCATATCAGCTCGTGGCTGCAGTGCATCTTTTCCTTTGGTTTTCACGTCATCTACCTGAAAGCAGAAACAAGAGTTGTTTAAGAGGGGCTACTTGACACTTGGATTTTTTATCCTGAATGCAGGAGGTTTCATCTTCTTCATTGCTCCTCCTATTAAGAATTGAGTTAATATCAAATGTTCAAGAGTTTGTTAAATAATATGTTTTGCCCACGAGACGAAAGAAATCCAATTTGGCTAGTTCATACAAGTATAATGGCAAAGGAGAAACTTGATTTATCATTGCATTATCCATGTGAAACCATATTATTTCAAATTTCCAATTTTTGAGACTAATATCACTACCATTGAACTTAAGAACCCCTTGACAGCCTCAAGGCTAACATCCAAAGTTTCATCACATAAATATATCCACAGCTTATTTCAACAATAAACTCCTAGGCAAACTATTTCCAACATGAATTTGTTAGCTAGGGCCCCATTGGTGGCACAGAACTTTGCTGTTTCGCAGATAGCTCAGACCTTATTTTTAAAACTGAATTTCGCTTTCCATGGTTGAGTGGCAAACAGAACAGTCTAGCAAGGGCTCCTATGCCCTATTGCCATTCAGAGTGGCAAGGAGAATGTTACTTATAGGATTAAATAATAAAAAAGTTCCACATTGACTCTGCATGATTATGGATCACTAAAGAATGCTAGGACCCATTTTTCTCATCCCTGTGCAACGAAAGTTTGTAGCATAGTGAGAACCATGCAAATCAGCAATTTCAAAATGAAGAGAGCAGAATTCAAGAACTAAAGATAGAAAGGCAAAAGAAGTAACTAGGAATCAAGAGATAACAATGAATAAACAACGACAAAACCCTGACACAACTCATTGGGTTTACACAAAGCAAATGAAGAGCATGCTCTACCCTCTAGGCACAAGCTTAGCATCATTATTTAAATTCTGGCACATTGTACTTTTCTTTTCATTAAAAGGTCCTACATTCCCTCAGATATGTTGTTCAGATTACATGACTTACTGAATGCAACTGTAGCTTATCTGCTGTGTACAACATCACAGCTGTTGCTCCTCCAAACACCAAAAAGGTTGCAGCAATGAATGCCGTCCCAACTGTAACAATCCAAAATAAGAACAGAAGATCTTCAAGAACGCTTGAACTCAATTTTTTTAGGCAAGAAAATATACTCTGTGAGTATCCAGCAATTACGGCTTTCAACTTCTCAGGGTCCATGGGAGGTGGGGTCCTATATCGCCACCTTTCATTGGCTGTTGACGCCAAGTAGTTAGGTTGTTCATTCGGAAGCTGCCATCTGGAAAAAAGAACATACAAAAGCAAGTGAAAACACATTAGTAAGTTGAAAACACAAGTAGGTCACAGGATGCATGAGCATAAGAAATACACACATATCAATTTGGAACTACAACAAATACTTCAATGATATACATTAGAAAATGTTTCTTTACAGATCCTGTAGCAACACATGGTAAAAAATAAGAGTCATCCACGAGTTAGCATCCAAGCTTCAGCTGTTATATGCATCTGTGTAGGGCCATGTTTAGATTGCAAATTTTTGTAATCTGGACACTGTAGTATGTTTCGTTTGTATTTGACAAACTTTGTCTGATCATGGACTAACTAGGCTCAAAAGATTCGTCTCGTGATTTACAACCAAACTGTGTAATTAATTATTTTTTTACCTACATTTAATGCTCCATGCATACGTCCAAAAATTGATGTGATGGAGAGAGAGTGAAAAAACTTGAAATTTTGAGACAATCTAAACAAGGCCTAGGCTTGCATGCATTGCAGGTTGCAGCTGCTTATTTTCATTTTGTTTCCTTGTTTTCTTTTGTGTCATCCTCTACGTCTCTCGAGTTTAAATTCAACGGCGTGAAGGTCTATATTAAGTTATTAACAATATAAGTGTCCCATTTAGGGATTTTTGCGATAATAGTAATTTCTGTATAGTCCATCTATCACGTGACAATGTAATTGCCAATAATAAAGGGCTCCCTTTGTACCACAACCACAAGGTTTCACATTAAAACAGATTCTTAGAAAACTGCTCGAACTTTGACAAACAAAATTATTTAGATGATTGAAAGCTCGAAAGGAAACACATTGGACCATTTGTTTATATACACCATAAGAATTTTATATAAAAATTCCAAGAGGAAAAAGGAGATTCGAGCATGATTATAGAAATATTGTGCTTTTCTTTGACAAAATCAAGTTCTTGCCATTTGTTTACATACAAGAGATCGTTTGGATCCACTTTTTAATAATTGGTCGGATAGTGAGTTAAAAACACATATAAACTATTATAGCAACTCTAAACTAACTAATGGAACTGATAGTTAGCAGCCCACCATAAAAAAAAATAGTTTTTTTTTAGTGTTGACGGATAAAAAGGCCCTTACACAAGGCCTTGTGCCTCTAGTTAGGTTCGTGCGAGTGTTGTGTACTTGTATGAGTGTTGTGTACTTGTGTGTGCTGCACCTGCACGTGTACATTTTAAACGTATTCTCCAAAACAAAACTGCAACTCCTGAAAGGAAATTCAGAAACAAGAAAAGGAACAAAATAAAGAGAAGTGTGTCTAACCATATGTCTTGGGAAGCAAGTCGTTCCAGCTGAAGACCCCTTACCTTTCTGCAAGACTGCATTACCAGTTTCTTTGCCTTGGTCAACAAGTCCATTTGCCACAACAGTCAACTATTGCTCATCTTATGATACTCAGCCTGTTCGCTGGTTGGTTTCTGGGCTGATAAGCCCGGCTGGTGCTGGTTTGTTGTGAGAGAAAAACACTGTTGGTTGTCTAATAAGCCCTAGCTGAAACCAACAAGCAAACATAGATTAATGAGCATGAAGTATGGCTTCTTCAACTATCTAAGCATCATGAGTTATGCAAGAGTAGGCATGAAGTATGGAACACGTCAAATGTTGACTCTCTGGCCAGGGCTCTATTTAAGATAAGCGGCATGTTCGCTGGTTGGTTTCTGGACTAATAAGCCTAACTGATGCTGATTTATCGTGAGAGAAAAACACTGTTGGCTGACTGATAAGCTCTGGTTGAAACCAACAAGCGAACAGGCTGAAGAACTGTAACTATCAATCCAAAGGTCTCCATACAAAATGCCTTCCAATAACATTCATCACAACACCAGACATCAGGTGGTTCTAACATCACACTGCGAATCACAAATCTGACCGAGTTCATTCGCAGTTTCAGGGCATTGCAAGAGAAAATTTGGAAACCCAAGAAAATAGTCAAAACATTAATATACAAGAGTGCCCTTGGATGAGCACATATAAAGCGTGCACAAAAAGGAAGATTTCTCTCACTGACAATGAACAAAAGAATGGTAAAAAAAGGAATCAATATGCCACCTGGCTCCATCGCACAATAGCAACAATGGAGATGGCAATACACGGTTGGCAGAACTCTGGCAGCATGATTTGTTGAATGGTAACCCGAGTAGAATTGAGGCACGATAGCAATAGCAACAATAAGAATGTTGTTGCTCAGTTCGGTCACCAGAGTCAGCTGCAGATGATGCACCTTCACTCAGAATGATTTAGCTGACCCCAATCTAAAATATGACAGCATTGTTGTCCAGATGCAAAATTTAGTCCCTGGTCTACTTCTTCCATCAAACATGAGACAAAATTCTGCCAAATACTCCAAATCCAACATGATGCCTAGCAGTAGATCATGGCAGTAAGAGAATGGATGAGCTAGTCAGCTATATTGCTTCTCTGATACAAACAAGAACTCAATCACTGTATTTTCTTTTTTACAGTTTGATTCCAAAGTAGTTCAAGGGCAAGAGATATATCCATATTTCAGCCGAAGCACAAAAGAACTACCTTTGGCGATCTCATTGGTATAGTCTTTCTTCTGAAAAAGAAGTATTGGTATAGACACAAGAAACTATCAAAAATCTTAGTGCTCTGTTCTGCACATGCATTCTGGACATCGTGGATGTCTAAATATGCTTCTTGCAACAGGCCTCTCATGAATTTGCTTAGTTTGCTGTATGAGTTTTCTTACTCTACTTTCAAATTCATTCCACTCAATCGTGGCATTCTTCACAAGTATGCTGGCTAGCCGGCGCTTGTTTGGCCTTACTGTGGGAAGGTCCCCACCACCATAGTACATGCGGTAACCTTGAACGAGAGAAGAGAATTGACTTCCTGGGTCAGTCATAGCAAATGCATCGGCAGCTGCACATGCAATGAAGTCCAGGGCTGCCAACTGCAAATCAGAGGAGCACAAAGAAATTATTCAATTAAGCGTAGCCATAGTTCACAAGATACTATGTAAATTAGCAAATGTCACAACCATTTTCTTATCCTTCATGTCACTCTTGTGGTTACTGGTTTGCTGCTCATATGAAACTCTAAATTGAGAGCAGAAAACAAAATTAGCACTTCTGTTACTGGTTTGCTGCCCACATGAATTACCTCTAAATTGAGAGCAGAAAATAAAATTAGCACTTCCTGACATTTCATGTTTTAACCTCTATGTATGTGACAACAGTTTGAGGAAATAATCTATTCAGTCAATCTGCAAACAAATAATCAGGTAGCTACTACCTGAATTTTCTGTTTGGGTGCTTATTTTATATGTTTTTACATGCTAACACTGTCTATATATCTTTTCTACCTAAATGATGCAAGAGATCACATGAGATATCTCACGGAAATTTACCTGAGATGAGAAGTTCCTAAATGGTTCAAGCTCTGATGGAGACAGAAGGGTTTCTTTAGTTACTAAAGCAGGATAAAGACGACTTATGGCAGCCATCCTATCCTTCCCTCCATAAATTTCAGCGCCTGCAATGTATATATTTGTGCTGCGCTTGAAACCAATAGCGGCAAGCATAAGCACAGCCTCTTCAGGTGCAAGGGGGCATTTGCCTTCAGACCGTAAGAAAGCAGCAGAGGGCAACCTAACAAGGTACGGTTCTGTCAGAAATGCTCATTGATGAAAAATAGGCAGCAACAGATCAATACTAGGATGCTACTTTTGTTTATTATGGTTTATTGTTATGCAATGTAGAACTGCAAACATACTTTGTCGTCTTCCTGAGTTCTGACAGAACAGGAAAGTGAATTTGGCGATAAGCTTCTAGTTCATCTTCCTCATCTTTGCCACCACCAAAGTAACACAATGAGTATGCAACCATATCAATCTCAAACCGGAGATGAACAGCCAGATATTTGGATGCATCACTCTTGTTCGCACTGGGGTCAGACTTGATGGCAAACTGGCCTAAAAGATTATCCTTCAAAGGCGACGAAGAGGCCCTATGGCCATGCAACCTCTCTACAAGAACTGCACCAGTTTCTTGAATTTTGTGTACAAAGCGAAGAGCGTGAAAATTACATCTGCATCGCAATCTCTGTGGAACAGTACCCATACAGTCAGAGCATGCACTTGATTTTTTTCCCCTTATGTGAGGAACAGAACAAAGAGAAGAAAACAGCAGCACAGTAACCAATATTCATGTGTAGTACTATCAGCTGAGTCATTCATATCTTGACAGTTCATCATATAAGTTAGACTAGAGTACTAAAGGATTCTATAACACTGATGCAAAAATAACCATTTCCCATCCCAGTAAAAGTGTAAATGCATCATAGAGTTTAGTGTCAAATAATCATATCTTGACAGATCATCAAGTAATTTACACTAGAGTACTACATGATTCTAAACAATGATACCAAAATAACAATTTCCTATCTCAGTAAGAGTGTAAACACATCATAGTGGGAAACAATTCAAGAAAATTAACAAACTCTGATATGCGGATAAATGGTATTGGTAGCAATCAGCACAATATGGCAACTCCAGTAAAAAGTACTCCTGCCGTCCCAAAATAAGTCTCCATCTCGCATTTGAAGGTGTCGAACAATCTCAATTTTGACCGAATATATACAAAAAAATTACTAATAATTGTGATACCAGATAAACATCATTAGGTTAATTACATCATATATTTTCATAGTAAACCTATTTGGATTTTGGAGATACAAATTTTGATACTATTTTCTATTAACTTAGTTAAAGTAGAGATTGGTTGACTCCTCGAAATGCGAGATGGAGACTTATTTTGGGACGGAGGGAGTATGACTGTAAAGAGTGTACTAGAAGTCTGGAACAGGTTCAGTTGAATATTTTTTTAATGACAAACAATATCTTTATGAATACATAAATAGGTCAATAATGGTACTGCATAGTAGATTTGTCTCAGAAAATACTTTCCTACTGTCACAATTTTATTAGATTATACAGATATATCACAAATAGATTGGCAACCCAAATAATGTTAAAGAGAACATTTCAGTGTCCAAAATGAACTTGCGTCACGTGACTAGTTGGAGTAATACCTGAAGGTCAGAAGGTATAGGGTCAAAAGATAAGCGATTGCCAAATCCTATAAAATGAACAACTCTGTTTCTCAGTAAAATTGGCAGTACTTTTTTCATGTATAAACTGGGCTTTGCCTCTTTCATGACATCTGTATCATTAACCTGCAGAGGAAAAGTTCAGCAATAATGAATTACAAGTTCATCTTTCTACCAATGTACTTTCTATAACTGAAAAAACTGAGATTAGTTACTCACAAGGCTACCGATCGCCTCCAAGTCTAATGACTGCAGCTCTGCTGGAAGATCCTTTACAATCTGAATATCAGATTTCAGATATTTGATAAAATAATCCTCCTGATATATATCGCCAAACTGACTAAGATATTGAACTCAATTTGTCATTTATGGAGAATATAATAATCAGTTATTGAAATAAGCTATCTGAAACATTAAACGTAAGACAGAGTTGTATTTTAAACAAAACAGTGTACCTTTTGTCCAGCCACACATTACTGTACAAGAATTTTGGGAGAACAAGAGTTGCATTGAGCAACCGTGAGATTGTAACTGCATTACAAATCTGTTAAACATAAGAAGGAAAAAGAAGATTGAAATCAATGGCATAACTGCAAAACCAATTCACGCACCAAAAAAATGAATTACTTCTCCAAGCAGATTTGCTAAGATTACCAGCAATGTTAAGAATGTTAGTAGATTACTGAACTACTCACCGCAACCCTTTGCTGGTTTATGCCACCATTCGCACTGATCATGATGTAGCCATTGGTTCCCTCTTCAATTACGAAGAATAGATGTTAAATAAACAAGGCACAAACATATGCGGGAAATATGAAAAATATAAAAAAAAAATGCCACTATCAAGATAAATGCACACCAATAACATCGAGTAATATAAATCAGCAACTACCTGAGGCTTTCCAATCCCTTTGGTCAGAACACGGTCTCCACATAGTAGCATTTATCGGCTCTTCCCACAAATCCTTAGGTTCAGGCCTGGTCTCTGCCTAGGTAATTAGCATTACACATTATGTCATTACCAAACACATATTTCAATGTGCATGTATGTGCAATATATGGCCAGTTTAGAATATGTAAAGAGCATGTAGCTGCCTTTATTAATGTTACCTCTGCCAAAGCATGGCCTGCCAAAGCAAGCAACCGGGTGAGCATAACCCTATGTGCCCTCTTCCCCTTAGCAGCACCAGCCACCTCTTCCTTAAAACATTTCAGTAATAAAAACCATGCATTAGAAATAATGTGCATAAACACCAAAAGCGGGCAACGGTTGCCATGGCACCCAAGAATTACATTATCATAATACAGTACTCTATCCATTTCTTTTAACAAGGAAATTAGGATTTGAGGAAGTCTTTCAAGGTATACTTTGACCATTAATTTACTGTACAATATATTATCAGTTACTATAAAACCCAGACCATACTAAAAGACAAGTGAAGTATGAATCTATTGATGCATCTGCCCTAAACATGCAAATGTTCTAACAAATCGAACGTCAAAATCATATTTAACTTTGTTTTATTCTAGGGACAATTGTCTGGTGGACATCCAAAGTGATAGTCCTTTGCTGGCGGACACCCACTTTGGAGCATTTTGCCAGAAGACACTCTGGTTCAGTGAAATTAGGCCACAGGACACCGCGGACCGGTTGCAGCCGGTTGAGGAGAGAGAACAGCAGTGAAATGACATTCTTGCCCCTGCCGCTTTCTTCTTCCTCTCTCCCTTTCTCTTTTTTTCTGTTTCCTGTCCCCGCCACCCTCTCCGCCTCCCGCACCCGCCCCCTTTCTTCTTCCCCCGGCTCTTTCTATTCTTTCTCGCCGGTGCCCCTGCCATGGCCGCGAGTTCAGAGCTCGGAGCTCGCCGGTGGCGACACCTTGCACCTCCTGGGTCTGCCTCCGGCCCCGCTCCGCCGCGCCGCCGCTGGCCTCGGTCTGCAGCCGCCCGCGTCCGCCCGCAGGTTGTGCGCAGGTCCGCAGCCGCCCCTGCTGGTCTGCAGGTCGCCCACGTCCGCAGCTGCAGGTCGCGTCCGTCCACACGCAGGTTGCGCGCCCGCTCGCACGCCCGCAGGTCGTCGCCGTACTCAGGCCAAGCCCCGCCATGGCCACGAGCTTGGAGCTCGCCGGTGCCTGGCCTGTGAGCAGCAGCAGTGCACGCAGCAATGGAGACGCTGCGCTGAAGGTAGACCCGGGCGCACAGCTTGGTAGTCGCGACCGTGCCAAAGTCGGCCCGCGGCGGCACCGCCGCCAGAGTCGGCAGCCATGGAGGACCCGAGCCGGGGCGTGCGGGCAGGGCTGTGCGCGCACGGCAGCGACCAAGGCGCAAGCACGCTTCGGCTGTGAGTGGGGCCGCAGGTCGCGGCAGCTACGGGGCATGAGGAGGCTGCGGCGGCGTGTGAGGCAGCAAGGCGCGGGCGGCAACAGGCTGCGGTGGCACGTGGGTCCGCAGGGCGCACCGGCAGCGGGCCGTGATGGCACGGGCGATGGGAGCTCGGCAATGGTGGTCCTGGCACAGTGAGGGAAGAGGGGGACAAGTGGGGAGGGGAGCTCAACCAATGGAAGAAGAGAAGAGGAGAAGAGGAGGAAGAACAAGATGATAGGTGGGGCCCGCGCGTCAATGAGAGGGAGAGGGGCGGACCCAACTGTGGCTCAGGGGCACCGGATGTCCAAAACGAAATTTTCTCTCTCCTCAACCGGCTGCAACCGGTCCGCGGTGTCCTGTGGCCTAATTTCACCGAACCAGAGTGTCTTCTGGCAAACTGCTCAAAACGGGGTGTCCGTCAGCAAACGACCATCACTTTGGATGTCCAACAGGCAATTATCCCTTTATTCTAATACGCCCAACACTTTGAAATGGAGCGAGCATGGCTTTAGGTGCAAGATAACATCATAATATCATGCCTTGAAGACCTTGTTAATGTTACTGGAGACTTAGCCTGAATTAAATTATTAAAAGCTAGATGTAGAATTACAAAATTGCAACTGAACAATAGAGCAGTACTAATTTTTATGGCTGTTGACTACAAATTAGCACAGCTTAAGAACACTCCTGCTCTCCCCCAGCGCAAAATAACTTAAAAACCAAGGGAGATTCAGAAGTGGAAGTAAGAAATGGCACAACCACTCTCTTGGCTAGGCTAACCTTTTGAATTGGTAGCTACGGAGTCATCACCCTATATCAATATCACTCGCCCCAGCAAACTAATCACATCAACCTCACCGGATGATAGCTACTAGACACTCATCAGTCAGTAAAGGAGGCCAACCACAGCATTACCAGAGTGAAGAGCGACGAATTGGCAGTGGCAGGCGCGCGGGGCGGGTGGCGCCTCAGACGGAAGTGCGGGCGCGCCGAGGGGTCCTGAAGTCGGGAGAACATCCACCAGTTCATGATGAAGAAGAAGGCCACGAGGGCGCCCCAGACCAGCAACCTCCGCGGGCGCCGCCACCCCCTCCGCTGCTGCTGCTGCCGCCGCCTCGCCCGCGGCAGCGCGGCGGCCGCCGGGGAGCTCGCCGCCGCCAGGAGCGGCAGCGGCGGGGGTGCCGCCGCCTCGGGCATTCCGGCGCTGGATTTGGATCTCGACAAGCGGGGGTTCGGTGGGAAGCGAGCAGAGGAGCACGAGATGCCCGGGTGGCTCGTCGGATCCTGCGATCGCCGTGCGATTAGTTTAAGCTGCAATTTGATGGAGAGGTTAATTTTTTATTCGTATGATTGTGCGGCCTGAGCTCGGCAGATCGGAGCAGAGGTGTAGATAGTCGGGGGCGGGAGTGGCAACTGGGCAAGGAAGGGAGGGAGCCGGGCAGCCGGCGAGCCGCGGTCGGCCTCGGTCATGTGCGGCGCGCGTGCGATTTTGGTTGCCCCTAGACTCGAAAGAATTTGGCGAGTGCCATTAAAAAGAGATCGCGATGTCCTGGAGTCTTTGAACAAATTTAGTGGTCTTCAGTATCACTGATTTAATTTTTTTTGTCCTCTATGTTACTATCGTCAGTCTGGGCTCTAACGTCGTCGAACTGCAGGTGTGAAAAGTCAAAAATACCCTTAATGCTAAATATGTCATTAATTTTTTTTGAGCATTTTAACAACTTCAAATGAAAAAACTCAAAATTAGAAAGTTTTAGATCTCGTCGAGATCTATAATTTTCATATAAAAATTATCTTTATTTAATTCCGTAAAAAAATATGATTTGATATGATTAATATATCTTAAAAAAATCATATTTTTTGTGAAATTAATTATAGATCTCGACGAGATCTACAACTTTCTAATTTTGAGTTTTTCATTTGAAGTCGTTAAGATGCTCAAAAAAAACTAATAACATATTTAGACTTAAGGATATTTTTGACTTTTCACACCTACAGTTTGACGGCGTTAGAGCCCAAACTGACGGCAGTAGTATGGAGGGCACAAAAAAGTTGGAGCAGTGGTGCTAAAGACCGCTGAACTTTTTCAGAAGCTCACAGGACATCGCGATCTTTTTTAATGGCACACAAGGAATTTCCCCAGAGAATTTAGAATTGCAAGTGTCAGCTGTCAGGTGAATGTATCCTCCATAGTCTCTCTATGGTGACATGTTAATTTAGAATTGCAAGAATTTAGAGTTGCCCCTGGACTCAAAATACTTTTTTTATTTCTAGGTCCTAAATTTATTCTGGGCTTCGTATTAGTTCAAATGTTTTTCGACCCGCTCCATATGCCATCATGACATGCTAATTGAGTACTGGCAACAATTTAACATATTGGGTTTAATATATCTAAGGGTCCGTTTGGACCGAGATATTAGATGGCTGGCATTGAATTAAGTATCAATGCCAAATCAGACTTCTATTGGAAATGGACTACAAAATGTACACGAAATTGCTATTTGGAATCTCGGGACATGGCAAATACCAAATATATGTTTGGATGTACATCTAGTTGAATTGAATTGAGTCGTCTTCTTCCACCCACCCCGTAACGCACCGCTTCACTTGCTTGGCGCCGAAGCTCTAGTCCACCACCACCATCACCCGCTTCCGCCCCGCCACAGCCTCCTCCATCCTGCAGAACCCGCCGCCACGGCGGTGTCCCCGCGCCCTGGCCTTCTTCCTAAACCAGCGCCGCGACCCGCGCCTGCTGCCAATCAGCCTGTTCGGGAGGCCGTATCGTATCGTATCGTGGATTTTTTACTACTGGCTGGTTTGGTGTGAGAGAAAAACACTGTTCCCGCCTGGAAATTTACGATCGTTTACGAGCAAGCGAACAGGCTGAATGCCAGTGCCGCCATCGCTCAAACTTAGGTGCCGCAGGAAGCGCTCACTGCTATCCCCGCTGCTCCCCATCGATCCACTCCCCGTTGCTGTCGGACTTGAAGAAGGGAAAGAAGGGAGTCTCGGCCATGGCGGATCTCGGCAGTCGGCCGACGATGGGGAAGAAGGGGTCGGCCACGGGAAAGGGGGGGCTTGCATCTCCTCCGTCCTCCCCGCGCGAGCTCTTTCGCTGGGAGTCGACGGGGAACCTTTGGTGGCAGCGGCGGTGGTCGAGACTTTGGTGGGTGCGGCGACAGTGGCAGGGAACCTCTGGTCGCGGCGACGGCGGTGGTCGGGACCCTTCGCGTCTCCTCCATCCTCCTCCGACGTTACTCTGGTTCCTGTTGTCCAATACGGAGGGGTCTGCCTCGTATTGAGGGGTCAATGCCATCTGGCAATGCCAAAGACACCCAAACAACAGATTTGGGGAAACTCAATTCCAATTCTAAATTCCACACCTCAATATCTACATCCAAACGGGGGTGTAAACTTGCATGGCAATACCCATCTATATATATCATAAACTTTCAAAATTACATATTCGGAACCCAAGCTTAATAATAGGGCAACACAAGATAACTAAACATGCGCGATGGTAACATCTAAATCCCTAATAACTTTGAAATTGCATATTCTGCACTCCAAACTTGCTAATCAGGACATATGAAGTCCAAATTGCCATTTTTAATAAACTGCATGCATGGCTATTGACTGTGCACCTGGTATGTGGGCCCTACATGTCGTCCCTCGTCCTCATCTTCTTCCCTACTCCCTCCGTGTTGTCGCCACCACTCTCTCTTGCGCCACCGTAGCCCGAGCACCAACAACAGTAGAAGTAGCACCACCGCTGTGACCTAGCGACGATGGGATGGTCTCTGCACGCTCCATCCTATCCTTCACACGCATGTCGAGCTATGCCACGAACAAGGCCCTTGGTGGCCGGACATGGGCAAGCTAGGCTTCTCGCCCTCGGCTCTAGCGGCGGCTAGATCCACGCTACAGCGGGGCCTTGATGTACAGTGTTATTCAAATGCCACTGGACCAAGGGCAGAGAGTGTTGTTAGGACCGGGACAAGAGGGAGTGGGGAAGGAGATGCGAGAGAGGGACGACATGTGGACCTGCACATGAGGGATTGGGAAGGATATGAGAGATGAATGTCATGTGGATCCACATGCTAGGTGCACCGGTCAGCATCCATGCAGGTGGTTTATCGAAAAAACTGTAAGTTAGACTTCATGTGGCCTGAGTAGTAAGTTTAAGAACCTAGATCTACAATTTTGGAAGTTAGGGACCAAGATGGCACCATCGTTCAATTTCTGGTACCTCGAGTAGCCCATTTATCAAGTTTGGGGACCTATGTGTAATTTTGAAAGTTTGAGATATATATGTGCAAATTTAGATACTAGACCCACCATGTTAGATCATGTCAACATTGAGTCTGCATGCCATGTCAGTATATGCAGTGGGTTGAAACCAATTTGAACTAGTACCGGACGCCGTGATAAGTTTAGGGATCCAAAAATCAAAAATAAAAGTTTGGAATCTAGTTAACACTATCTCTCAAGTGTAGGGACCAACAATATATTCTACCCTTGTCCTATGCCTATATAGAGCTAGAGAGATAAAAGGCGCGCTTGATTTCTTTGCTAGGGACGGAATTCCCTTGCACAGCCAGGATAGCGAGCACCGTTTAAAAAAGATGAGCAACATTTTCTTAGAATAGACAAGATTTGGACGTTGTTGGTCGTAGAGCCCGTTTAGATCCCCTAGAGCTAAAAATTAGCTAAGGTTCCATTTAGGTCCCTAGCTAATAGTCTAGTTAGTGTCTTACCTACTACCTAGCTAACAATTAGCTATTAGCTTATTTCCTCCAACTAACACCACTAATAGTTAGTTAAGAGGATCCAAACAGGACTATTATTAGTGCAAATGAGCAGAATCAACTTTCTCGGGCTCACAGGCTGGTAAGGCAAAGCTTATTCACACAGACAAGGCAATCAAAGCTACGAGGCATGCCCAAAGACAACAACAAAAGAATGCAGGATGAGAACAAGTTGATGAGGACGCTGGTCGAGGTGCCTACTGCCAAGGCCATCTTGAAGCAGGTTTCAGTTTTGCACATGGCTTATTAACTCAAAATGTAATCGCATTCACATTCTAAACCCTGAGATCAAAGGATGAACATCAATAGATGTTTGGAAGATAGATTATGGTCTATGAGTAGAAAGTAAACGGCGTCGCAGATTCGTTTGATTGGATGTATTTCAAATAGACTTGTCCCTTATGACCTTATATATAGGGTGGGAAGTAATTCATTTTTAACTAACAGATTGTATGTCCTACCATCATATAAACAAAAAAGAATATTAGTTTTTAACACAATTTTTGAAATTAAGAATTCTTTGACATGTTGAGAAATCAGACTCCTCGTCTTGCTACAAATGCTTAATGTCAAAATATAAGTGAATTGTTCATCTTCTATATATATCAAATTAAATTTTTGGATTGAATTGATCATCAATGATACTTAATATGGTATAATTTTATTAGGGATAGAGATCCCGAGTTGGAATCCTAGTGGCTAGCACAATTAAATAAAATAATATTAGCTCATTGCTTTTTCCTATTCTACTTGTGAGGCCTAAGAGAGACTCCACGTTAGGGGCAGTATTGAGATATAGTGAATTATATTACCCACCTTACCTTCCCGCTTAAGTTTGGGGTTGAAGTGGCTTGTGCATGTAAGGGCAACCATAATGTATATGGACCAAGTAGTCTATATACATGGGAGCCACACAATTAGTCTATAGTTGATATTATTTGCTCCACAATGTCTAGCCAAGAAATAGTCTATAAGATAGGTCCCTAAAGATAAAAAAAATCCATTTAGCCGTCTACCTTGCCTCTTGTTTCTCTCTCTCCCTCGATCCCATGATGCAGTCTCTCCCTTTCCCCTGATTACGCTGCTATTCATCTTCCCCACCCTCGGATGCCCGATGCCACTGCCCATGTCCAGAGATATGCCGCCCCCGTCCCCACATGGATGTCCGGGCATTGCCGTCCCTATCCTGAGGGACGTTGCCCCGCTTGTAGAGAAGCCGCCTAGATGCCGCTCGGAGGAAAGCCGCCCGGATGCCACTGCCTCTAATCGGAGGAAGCAGCCCTTCTCGGACATCGGTATTCAAAAGTTTATGTGTAATCTTTTACTATGAACTACTCTATGGACCGATTGGATAGTATTTTAGGTAGCTAGTGGGGATTATTGTAATTCCTATATAGACTGCTTTTGAATAACATTGTGATTGCTCTAATTCAACACTCATATTGTTTGGACTTAACGGCTCTAAATTTTTCTTTGGTGTGGTAGCCGATGTGCTTATGAGATGTCTATGGTGACTTTGTTAAGCTTAACATATGCTCACATCTCAGTGAAGTGATCTCCACGTGTTTTGGGAAAGTGTGTGCGATGCTGTCCCTGCTTTGTCATCTCACTTATCGTGATCTTTATCGACTAAAGTAACCCAGCGCTCCATGTGTGCAAATGGCATCTGATCCAGGTGTTGATAACTAATCAGGTTTCTGCTATGATGCACCTGAAAAATTTTCTAATAAATTTCAAAAAAGTAATACTTTTCTTGGCCAATGTCGACATTTCATCTTTAAGGTCAAATCCTAGTGCTAATTTCATTCTTAATAAATGGGATGCCATGTAGAATCATAGAACCGAAGACACGCATTAGAGTTATGAAGAAGAGATAAAAAGAGGTTTCATCCGTATGAACAGGGACCGAGCCAAGATTATACAAAAGAAATCTCAAAACTATAAAAAGATAAAAAGAGAACAAAATTAATTAGCTCTCGGTCTCTAATTAACCTTTATCTGATCAATCTAATTCTTAGACCAAAGATATATCACGGTAATAACACAACATGAAGACTAATCCTAAACAATATAGATGCCATTGGAGATCAATTCTGAGCGAGGAGGACAATCGAGATATTTGATAGGCAACAATAAAAGAACAAAAGAGATGAAAAGGGTGGTTGGGCAGAACCCCCCCCCGCCGCCAAGGGCTAGAGGTGTCATTGTATTGGACCACCCAAATCACATGAGTCACAGTCACAACTTAAACAAAATAATCATCCTAAGAAACATCAAACTTGTTTAATTCGTCAATTCAAAACACTCTAGATAATGTAGCACTATCACAAACAATAAAAATAAAAAAATCCATTACGGTTGCCCTATAACAAGAAACCTATGCCCATAGGCGAGTGCCGAGTGGCGCCGTGATATCCATATATACTGCAATACTTAAGGACGTCTAGTGAACTGTCCTACGACACATTTCTTGCCCTTCTGGTACCATATTTTTGCGATTGCAACTTTTCATCATTAAAAATTTAGATAATGGATTTAAATTCTTCAAAGCATTAAATAGAAACAGACAATTTGTAAGTAGGAAACCCAATTCCAGTTAGGACTTAGGAGGAATTCATAATTCAATGGCACATCCTTCTCGTGAGGAGTCCGAAATTAGGTGACATGAGTGCTCAATATAATTCAGGTTTGTTTGGGCTTTTCCTTTGCATCGGTGGAGGTTGACGATTAGCCTCTGATGGAGCATCACACAGGATTGGGTTTGGGTGGCATCATGATTGTATATGTTGCAAGAAACAGTTAAAAGAGAGAATATCCACCTACTTCAACAGTCAACACACGGGTTTCACTTTCATCGGCCGCGCCTAGCAGAGTAGCAGGTGTGGTGGGAACCACGCACAAATTGTCAATATCAACAACAATTTCTCGTATTCTGTCTGCGGACCTGTTTGGCAGAGCTCTGGCTCCTCTGAAAATGGCTCTAGCTCCTCTGGAGGAGTTGAAGCCGTTCTGAAAAACGTTTGGCAAAACGGCTCCTTCGCACTAGACGACGTGAACCCACAGCAAGGAGCCACGCGAAACTCGTTTTTTAGGCTTCTCCTGCGCAGGTAAAAAATAGCTCCGGCTCTTGACCGGCTCCCCATGCGGAGCCCTTTCCAAAACAGACGTTTGGCACAGCTTCTGCAGGAGCCGAAGCTGAAGGCCCTGCAGAGCCCTGCCAAACAGGCTTTGATTCATCGGCGCAAGAATATGCAACGGAGCCGCCGAAGAAACCGAGGCCATCTTCACCTGGGAATAGGAATCCCCAGACAGACATTATTGACATCGTCGCTCAGACAATTATGGCCATGTTTAGTTGGCCACCGATTTGGCGCCGCCGGAAAGTAGCGACACTGTAGCGTTTTGTTTGTATTTGGTAATAATTGTCCAATCGTTGACTAATTAGGCTTAAAACGTTCGTCTTGTAAAGTACAGCTAAACTGTGCAATTAGTTTTTGATTTCGTCAACATTTAGTACTCCATACATGTACCGTAAGTTTGATGTGACGGAAAATCTTCTTTTTGCATAGTGCCAAATTCTGGAAAACGGGGGAACTGGCCTATAAGTCGAATACTCCAAAGGTACGGTGGATATGATTATGTATTAATTTCGTCAAAAACAAGTATATGTTTTTCGTCCATTCACAAGTACATGTTTTTCGTCAAAAACAAGTCTATGTTGCAAGACTAAGCTAGCTAGCGACAATCTGCACAGCTAGCCCACAGGTCCTGAAAAAGATCGAGGTCAATTTTTAGCTTTTTCTTCCAATCGTGTGTGTTTTGCACTAGCACGAATGTACATGTACATGTACTAGTAGCAGCCCGGCGGCCCGGCCTGATCAGCTGGCTCGTTCCTTTGCCGGTCTTGTGGAGAAACCACCATCGCCACGCAAGGGGCCATCTCCATCCCCCTGAGCAAAACGAAACTCCTTTTGTTTTGCTGAAAAAGCCAGGAGCCGGTCACTTTGTGTTGGCAGTGGTGGATTCCACTTCCTCCGGCGCGGCACGGCTAGCCGTAGAAGCTAGCGTACCCCCGGAGGAGATTGTCGTCGTCGTCGTCCCATTTATTTGCTAGCTTTTGCGTTGGTTTCGTCGTCGTCGTCGCACCGAGTGCGCGATGTGTAATCATGGGCCTGTTCGCTGGTTGGTGCTAGTGCTGGTTTGGGCTGGCTGGTGCTGGTTTTTTGTGAGAGGAAAACACTGTTGGCTGGTTGGTTTGGGCTGGCTGAAACCAACAAGCGAACAGGCCGATGGAGAGCAAAAAGAAGCTGCTGGTGCCGTCGACTCGGCGGTCCGTCGGATCGCGCGGGCGCTATAAGTACGTGATTCCCACAGGAATAAGCCGAGCGACGAGTCACCAGTGTGACGCTGACGTCTGGTTCGCCGTGGCGGTGCGACGAGCGAGCATGTCGGAGAAGACGCCGCCGACGAAGGCGACGCTGAGCCGGCCATGCGTTCTGATCATAGGTAATCAACATTGCCACCTCTACTCAACGACTTTTCCGTTCTTTTCTTTTTTCCGGTGCTAGCTGCTAGCTTGAAGCACAGTAATGCGGTTCGAGATGAGCCTGTTGATCGATGCGCCGACGGTTGTGATGTGGCAGCGATGGCGGGCGTGGAGAGGTTCGCGAACAAGGGGGTGGGGTCGAACCTGGTGACGTACCTCACCAGCGTGGTGGGGATGAGCACGGCGGCGGCGGCCAAGAGCGTCATCACCTGGAACGGCGTCAGCTTCATGCTGCCGCTCGTCAGCGCCATCCTGGCTGACTCCTACTGGGACCGCTACTGCACGATCGCCGCCTCCTCCTTGCTCTACGTCTTCGTAAGTCCATGATTGTAGCCTGCTAACTAATTTCCACGCATGCTCGACGATCGTTGATGATCGATGCCGGCAAAAGCCTCTCGATCGATCGGAGACTCCGATTAGTCGTGTTCGTTCTGCTGTTGTGTTTGTTGTTTTGTGATATTAGCTGGCAGGCTCAGAGTGCCAATCAGGAATTCTGGAATAAATATGCAATCTTGGATTAATCAGTAGAGTATGTCCATTTCTGAACATTGTAAAATGAGCAAATGCTGTCATGTGCAGAAAAAAAAAACAGTTCTGAACCTTGTGATTGCAGTCAAGGAACAGACGTGCTCAGAAAAAGCGCAAGCGCAATGTACACACATAAAAAACATTTGCTTCAAAGCCAGTAGCTAACTAGCTATTGCAATCTCCAGATACAGATATTTGGCATAGTTTCTGATGATTCAGGACATAGACAGCCGAGTACAACGAACAGTTCATTTGTTCTAAGTCAAACTATTCTAAATTTGACAAAGTTTGTAGAGGTCATTATGAAAATACATTTCATAATAATGTATCTAATAAGGTTCATTTGATATTGTAAATATATTGTTCTTTTTCTATAATTTTTTTTTGAACGTGACTTTTTTCTATAAATTTGGTTAAACTTAAGATGGTCACTATTTCATCACATAAAAATGGCCATCATTGATACTTGCCAAGTGCAATTTTTGGTTAAAAAACAGCTTACTCTGCTTCCCACTGACACTGCTCCTCCTTGGTCAGGGAATGGTAGCACTCACCATATGGGCACTGCTGCGGACACGGATGCCGCGCTCCACGCTCTTCTTCCCGCTCTACCTGATGTCCATCGGGCAAGGTGGATACCAGCCTTCACTGCAAGCCTTCGGCGCCGACCAGCTTAGCATCGGGGACGACGACGACGACACCGAGCCAGGCGCGACGCCGGAGGAGAAGGCCAAGGTGAAGAGCATGTTCTTCCAGTGGTGGTACTTCGGCATGTGCAGCGGCAGCCTGCTGGGGAACTCCACCATGTCGTACGTCCAAGACAACTTCGGCTGGGGCCTCGGTTTCGCCATCCCCAGCGCCGTCATGGCCCTGTCCGTCGCGGCCTTCTTCTGCTGCACCCCTCTTTACAAGCAGCAGACACAGCCAAAGGGCGCCGGTAATAAGCCGTCTCCGAATAGCGTCTTCAAGGTCCTCAAGTCGATTCTCGCTAGTAGCCGAAAGATCAGTCTGCCGTCGAGAGACGACAATGGCGACGCCACTTCTGAGCTTGAGTATGTGTATTTCACCTCGTTATCCTAGGAGCAATTCTTGTATCTGTAGCAGTACATGCTAATCGTGCAACATCTGGAACGTTGCAGGTTGCAGGAGAAGCCACTGAAAGCTGAACCAGCAGATACAAAGGAGTCGTCCCTGGATGAGGCTGCTCCCACTCCCAGCGTGGCCAAGGTCATCCTCGGCTTCCTGCCAATCTGGGCGATCCTGCTCGTCTTCGCGGTGATCTTCCAGCAGCCGATGACGTTCTTCACCAAGCAGGGGATGCTGATGGACCACACGGTCGGCGTCGGCGGCGGCTCCTTCGTGATCCCGCCAGCGATGCTCCAGAGCTCGATCACCGTCTCCATCATCCTGCTCGTGCCCATGTACGACAGGATGATCATCCCGCTGATCAACGCCGTCACCGGGGGCAGCGACGGCATCACGGTGCTCCAGCGGATCGGCGTCGGCATGGTCCTCTCCGTCGTGGCCATGGTCACCGCGGCGCTCGTCGAGTCGTGGCGGCTCCGCGTGGCGCCTGTCCGGCTGAGCATCTTCTGGCTCCTGCGGCAGTACGTTCTGCTGGGGATCTCGGACGTGTTCACGGTGGTGGGGATGCAGGAGTTCTTCTACACACAGGTGCCGGCCTCCATGAGGACCACCGGCATCGGGCTCTACCTCAGCGTCTTCGGCGTCGGCGGCTTCCTCGGCGCGTTCCTGATCACCGTGCTCGAGATGGCCACGGCGAGACCCGGCAACGCCCGAGGATGGTTCTCTGACGATCCGCGGGAGGCGTGCCTGGATAACTTCTACTGGTTCTTGGTTCTCCTTTGCTTCATCAGCTTTGTGATCTTCACGCACTTATGCAAGTACTACAATGGCAAATCTGCGTCAGGGAGGTAGGTTCAGACTTCGGAGTAGGTGGAGTGGAGACTAGGACGATTGGCTGTTCGATCTTGATTTTGCTTGACAGGTTGAGTGAAAATTCCATACTTCTATTTGCAGGATGATTTCAGGGGTAGTGTAATGTTTTCAGAATGAGAGTAAAGGACTTCAGACGTGTTCTGTTCCGTGAGACACTTGTACAAAGCTTGTACCCTTCTGATTTGTCAGATCAAAAGAAAATACATGCTTGGAAAGAAAAGAACATGCTAAATACGTTTTTTCACATTTTAAATAATAAACCATGCGCATGTGGATCACATGGGCAGACATTACTTTGAAAAGTTTTTCTTGACAGGGTTACTTTGGAAGGTTTTAGGCCATTTTTGTCTGTGTGCATGATTTTAAAGAAGACTCACATGTACGGATGCATACTCACCAATGAAGTCACCACAGAAGTTTTGGTGATCTCATAGTTTAAAGTTTAGCCATTAAACTTTAGCTCTAAAGGCTCTAAACAGATAGTGTAACATGATGCCTAAAGTTTAGTCAACCTAAAAAGACTATTAGTTCATTAGACAACATAAGTATGTAAAAATGGTCTAAAGTTTAGCATCCAACTAAACTTTAGAACCACGGATTCCAACAGGGCCTAAGCCCACAAAATAAACCAGCAAGTGCCAAGAAGTTGTGTTGTTTCATCACAAAAAAAAAAAGATTAGAAAACAATTAAATGTGGAGTTGAATAGATTTTTGTTGTGGAACTTGCACATTAAGTTAGAAGTTATGTGGACACCCCCTTTTTATCTTCTCGAGTTTTTTTTTTGATTCTTGACGTAGGCAACCTGTTATTTGACAAGATACGATCATCGTGACTTAATTTACGATAATGCTATAAACAGGAGACTTCCTTCGTACGAATGCATGGCATAACGTGCACCGCAACTTTGACTCCCTCCACCTCTTATTCTCATCCAGGCACCGCTGGCTCACTCTGCTCGGCCTTCTCCCCACCGTGCTTTGACCCTGTGCCGCTCGCTTGGTCCTCGCTCCCGCGCTCGTGCCGCTCGCTAGGCTAAGCCAAGGCCGGTGTTCGTGGCGCTGGCTGGTGATGGTGCTCGCGCGCGCTGCTAGTGCGATCGAGGATGTTGCACAAGTTGCATATGTTGTAAGTGTTTCATAGGCATGTTGCAAGCGTTTGTTCAAAATGTTTCATCTGTCCAGACGTACGTTGCAAGCGTTTTGATCTGGATGTTTGCATATGTTTCACACATATGTTGCAATAACATGTTTCATATGTTTCGTCTAGTTCAGACGTATGTTGCAAGCGTTCTATCTGGATGTTGCATATGTTATAATGACTATATTGCAAGTGTATATTTCATCTGTTTCAATCTTATGTTGCAATTGTTTCATTTGAGTGTTGCTAAAGTAGATCTCAATGTAGGGCTATTTAGCGAGGCAGAGAGCGTGTGCTGGGAGCCATGGCGGCGTCAGCTGTAAGCTGGCGGCAGCGCTCCACCAGAGGACGAGCAGGCGTCCGGGCTAGCGCACGCGGCTCGTTCCCATACGACATGCTGCCTCCGCGGGCCCCGCGGGAGGTCCTGGAGCAAAAGCTCGTGGCATCTCCCCGCACGACGGAGATGCAAAACCTGGCTATGGAGACGACGCGGGCACGACGAGGTTGAGAGCCCCTGCTGGCGCGGCGAGTGGGCGGGCTCCCCTATTACGCAGGCACGGCGGACACAAGATGCGTCCGGACACAGGCCCGGGGCCGGACAGCCGGGTGCTAGTACGCTAGCCTGCTGGTCTCTCCTAATCATGGGTTTGAGACTGAGTGAGTGTATATAAGCAACTTCATCTACACTTCGTTTCCAAAAAAAATATGAGCAGAAAAATACAAGTATATAAATATAAATATCCTTTTATGTACATCGAATTCAGTAATCAGCAGACACCAGGTACGATGAAACTACTCTACAACTGCAACAGCAGCGAGATCAGATCACCGGCTATATGCAACATACTATGCACAAACCAACAACAAGCAGAAAAAATAATTTACTGTCTACCGGGAGCGGCAGCTAAGCGTGTGGAAGCCGAACAATTACAACGGTGACCTGATGATGAGATGGTTAGTACCCCGGGAGCTCCGAGCCCTGCTGCTTCTTGCCGCCGCCGCCGCCGTTCTTCCGCTGGCACTTGTCCTTGATCCACTGGAACCCCTGCGCCGTGCCCTCCTTCACCTTCCTGATCCCGGTGGCCGCGGCCGCCTTGGTCTTCTCCCCCACGCCGCCGCCGCCGCCGGCCTTGCCCCCGTGGGCGTGGTCACGCCGCGCCCTCGGGCTCGGGTCGCCGCCGTAGTCCCACTGGTCCGCCCACGACGTCCCGAACGAGTTGTTCCGCTGCATGCCTGCCGGCCGCTCGAAAGCTGAGAACGAAGCACAGGAGAAGCCGAGAACGAGAGCTGCGATCGAGACAAAAAAACTCCGCCTCGGGAACCAAGGAACAGGCGCTGGATTATTTGGTCTCGTGGTCTCTGGCTCCGGGAGTTTTAAAGGCGCCGCGAGCGCGCTGCGCGAAGAAACGCGTCGCCGTCGGGGACAGCTCAGGGGCGATAATCTTGAGGGGTGACGGAAAGGGAAGGGATCGATTCGGAAAGAGAAAATCGTGAGGCGCCCATGGCCTCACGCATGATGCGTATACTCCGCTGCGACGTGTTCTAGAAGCGTGTCGCTGCGACTTTGGGAGCTGGAGGTGACCAGGCGACGGCGGCGCACGGGCAGGGAAGTTTCCGGCCGCTGTGGCACCGACGCGTGGGGTCGGAGAGGGACGACGGTCCACGTGTCAGGGACTCTCCTGGCGGCTGCGAGAGGTGAGAGGAGGAGAGCAGTTGGCATACCGGAGCAGATTGCGACGGGACGGGAGAACGGGGTCTCGTGGCCACGGATTGGATGCTGGACCTGGGCACCGTCGCGTTTGGCACGCCTTTTTTTCTTTCAACTCCTCATGCGTGGAATGGAAAGGAAAAAGAATTCCGAATGGGACGACACCAGCGGACGGTGGTCGGTGGCCGTCCGGCAATGGACAGCGTAGCGAGAGACGGATGAACGTGCACGGCGAAAACCGGGCCGCGGCGCCGAAAGCGCACATGGCTACCGGTCGTTCAAGCTGCTGTGCTGTCTGTAACTAGCGGTTGGAGCGTTGGACAGATAATAAACTACTGGTCATCCATCCTCAAAGGTGCTCTATCTAAATCGCTGTGGAGTTGTTAATCTCTAGGTCAACCATCAATTATATGAACTTGTGAATTGTGATCTCCCGCTCAGAAAAGATTTCGCGCAACCCTAGAACAAATAGTAGTGAGAGCGATCCTAAAAGTTTCTTTATCTCCTTTAGTATCGATAGGTATATAGAATTTATAGAAAAAAAATCCCCTGAAAGGTTTTGTTAAAAAAAGTCTCTCGGATAGCTCCTTCGACTAGATCTCCAAATAGTTTTACCTTCTATCACTACTTTTCACGAAAATAGAGAGTGGAGCTAGCTCTCCAAAATGCCAAACAAAATATAGATATTGTTGGAGGGTGGAGAGATATAGAGAGCAATTTTTATTAGAATAGTTCTCTAAATGAGGATTTAGAGAATATGTTTAAGAAAGACTATTGGAGATGATGCCAGACTTCCTTCTCTGTTATGCGCTACTATGGTGGAAACTAGAGTATAGGTCGTCGTGTTAAACAAAAAATGTTCATCTATTTAGCCATCTAGGCCTTGATTGCAACACGAGAAAATTTTCATGTGCTTGCGTGTTTCTTATGAATTGAACTGATTTTTATAAAATTCATGCATTCCAAACACACCTTCAGAATTATACAGACCACTTTCAGTGGTGACCACCCTGTGCTCGGCCCAACCAAAGCCAATTGGATCCAAAGGCATGAATTATTTTTCGGAATTTCTATCCATCATCCGAGTGATGGGTATTTATGTTTTCATTCACCCTTTGTTGGTTGCGTCATGTGGGCTCAATTTATTTTGTTGTTTTGGCCCATTTGTATGTCACATGTAGTCTAGAGACGGAGAGGGAATTAATTTTTCAGTTTCTTGTCCACTTCGTCTTCTATCCTCTTCATACTCGGAGGAGTTGCAGCCTGAGCGGCGTCGCCCCTCACCTCAGCTGCGGCCTGCGGGCGTCGTCCCTCACCTCAACCCCACTCCCCTCGACAGCAGCTTCTATCTGCTCGCGGCCGTTGTGCTCCCTCTCACCTCAACCCCAATCCCCTCCACAACAGCTTCCGTTGGCTGTGTACAGGATGTCACCGACGGGCGGAGTGGGCTGCTCCGCCCAACAGGTGCGCGTATCTGAAGACTAGTGTTGATTTCCCCCCGACGTGATTTGGTTTCCCCATTCTATTTAGGTTCGTGTGATGGCGCCTCCATCCCCTTCTGCATTTCGCTTCCAGCATGCCGTGTCAATTAGTTTGGCATATGTTTATTCTGTTGAATTGGATCCATCATTTCTAATTGCCTATCAGTTAGTTGTCTTGTAAATTCACTGTGTATTGTTTTTATGAACTGTAGTTTGTTATAATTATTTCTTCAGTGAGAAATTCATTGTGTAGTGTTCTCATAATTTGTAGTTGTGTGATAATTATTTCTTCATTGCGATTCAGTTTTCCCATTCTATTCAGGTTCATCTGATGGCACACCCATTTGTTTGAAATTGAATTTGTATTATTCATTTATCTGTGTTTTCTATGCTGGAACAAATTGGTTCTTGGCTTTTTGTTCTTGTGTGTTGTTTGTTCAAGAAAGAGAGGGAGAGGGTTCTATTTTTTCTCTATTCGCTTTGCGTCTGGTGCCTGCATTGCACGCGTGGCCCCTTGCGCATGTATTTCAGTTTAGTCTTGTTATTCTTTATTTAGGTTTTAGTTTTTGGAATTCCTATGTGTATGGATAAGTAGCCTTGATACATTTATTCAAGAGTCTCTATTTTTCAGAGCTTGTTATTTCAGTATTTCATCAGACATTGTAATTGCATGGTGTGTCATTTTCAAGCAATGGTGATGTATTGTCAATGATCAGTTTCAGTTTTCTGATGTTTACAGTTAAAATGTTAGTATTAGTTTCAGATTAATAAGTTTAGTGATTCAGTGTTTTTTTGTTTGTGAAATTAAAGGAACCACAACAGACGATTCAGTTCGCTCAAATAATATAATTCTTAACAGATTATTGCTTGTGGTGGATAGTGCTCTGGTTCCTCTGTTTACTGGTTTTGACAGGGCTAGGATGCGGACTTGTGTGTTTAATTATATGTGGTGGTTTATTTTCTTGAGTTGTTGCGTTGATATAAGATATGATTTGTGGAGTCTAAAATGCGTCAATCGATCTGCCTGAAGTTTGATATTGCTAATTATATTGGAACTGAAACTCCTAGACAGGTCATGCAACACATGTCATTCAACACTATTTGGTTACATTGGTTTTAGTGAGGTTAGAGAATATTTGCAGATGAAACATGTAAAATTATTATCTTGTACAGAGTACTATGCTATTCAAAAACAAGAACATGCATTGCACATATTTCATTAAGAGAACAGGGAGTGCAACCACACATCAAGGTACTCTGTAGTGCACCTGAACTTTCCAATTCCAGTTATCTGATGTTTCCAGTTAAAATGATACCATTAGTTTCAGTTTAATTAGTTCAGAGATTCAGTTTTTGTTTGTGTGGCTCACGTTTCACAATCCACCTGAACTTTTCCACTTTTTTTCTGTATTGCACGCGGGAAACATTTTTAACTGGAACGAATTGGTTCTAGTGTGCTGTTGGTGCAAGAAAGAGAGAGGGAGAGGGTCTGCTCGATCCCCGTCTGGTGCCTGCATTACACGCATGGCCTCTTGCGCATGTAGCAAAATCTCATGAGTTTCAGTATCTACCCACCCACCCACCCTTCCTCTCTTCTCACGATTTCTAGTTGCTATGTATAGTCGTTGAATTATTTTTCTTTTATTTTCGGTTCACTGTTTCAGAGCACTTATTTTTTCGAACCATAACTAATATCATGTGCTTTGAAATTATTCATCACCCAGTTTTCCAAAGAAAACCAAGCTCGCCATATGTGTGTCCAGGAAGTCTAAACATACAACAACAGAATAGAAATTATCAGAAACAATGTTATTAAATAACATATAGATAGCTATATTAACACTTACATCAGAGTATCGCGGAACGGTAATTAATATTCAGGCTCCATTCTTCACAGGGATGACTGACTGGGGTAACATACGCCTAGCACTTCCGTTAATCTTCAACTCCTATGTGTCTTCTTAAATCTTCTGAGCAGCTTCTATTAGACACTAGGGTGTGGGAAAATAGCAAGAGTGAGCACATGTCGTATTCAGCAAATATAATATGGGGTTCATAAGGCTCAAAAGGTTGACACTGGTTTAACTGCAGTTAACTTTTAATTGAGTATCAATTTTAAGCAATTGAGTAGCGACAAGGTTCACATAAAGCTCATATAAACACATGATCAGGTAAACATGAATAATGAATAGCATAAACAATTAATCAATAGTGATCATCTATTCTATAAGGGTCCAAGGCCGCTCGTGACCGTGAACACGGTTGATATACCAGTTTTACACTCTACAGAGGTCGTACACTTTCACCGTGAGTCATGATTTACCCTTTCGCCCGAGGTGATTAGCCTCTTGACCCACTACCAAGGAAGGTCAGCAGAGTTCACTACGTAGTCTTTCAGAAGTTCGTCTAACAAGTTAGGGCCGCTAGGTTTCCAATTGGCAAGAGAATATAGAGCCCCCCTTCGAATGACACATTCCACGCAGGCTATACACATAGGGATAGAGACCACACTATACTCAGCTCGGCAAGCCCCTTTTACGCCCTTTCGAGTAACCACTAACAAGCTAGAAAATGTCTTAATACTGAACTAAAGCCAGAGCCATATAGCTGTCACGGTTGTACTTGTTAGTCTCAGATGATCGCTTACAGATAAGTTATTAAAGAGAGGAATCTAGAGCATCACAAAAACTATGCTCTAACGCCCTTGTTCCTTGTTGCTAAAAAGCATATTTTATTGTTTATTGCATAATCCATTAATCAAGTTATAAGATCATGGTCTTTAATTGAGCACTAGCATCACTACCTAATAATGCAATAAACCCATAGGTGACAAGGTATAAGTACAAAGCTAGGAAATCCTTAATGACAATTAGGGTAGACACATGCAGTATGATTTAAATGATTTATAGTGAATAGGACAACAAGGATGATCCTATGCTATACTTGCCTGCAAATGCTCAAACTTTCTCATACTTTAGCTTTCGGTCAACATCTTCTGATCTTCAGCGCTTGCAAACAGCTCTTGTTCTCCTCACGCTCGCA